TATATATATATATATATAAGTTCAGTAAAGAACCATTATTAATCAAGAAACCAATGAATGAATCCAAAGCCTCAGAATTTAAAACGATTATCGGCAAAAAGAATCGGTTGTAGAGTTTTACAATGGACGCACATTCTCCGGATTATAACAAAACTCATTTCCTTTTTTTTAGTTTAATTTTTTTAGACTATGTTTTTTATGGAAAATGACACTGTAGCACATGAAAGTTTTGACATTTGGCTAATTTGGTCACTAAAGTTTTTTTTGGTACATTAGACCACTAAACTCTATTTTTACCTCTTAATTACACCATTATCCAAAAAATGAGACGGTTTACCGGTTCCAGTGCTTATGTGGCAGGGTGATGTGTCCAATAAGCTTACGTGGGATACTGATGTGTCGAAGAAGCTGACTCGTCCAACAACCCTTATTAATTGAAACCCTGAATCAGAACATTATTCAAATTTTTCTTACCCTTTTTTAAAAAGTCAAATCCTTTTCACCGACTCTTTCCATCCTCAAGAACAATGTCTTCGAGCTCATCCACTTCAAGGAATCAGCTACAAGTGACTTGTGTTCAAGTACGAGAAGGGGCCAAAGCTTTATGAATGCGACATTCCAGCTAAAGAACGAACATGTTGGAAGATAACAAACCCTGGGAGGCGTTTTTGGAATTGTCAAAACAGTTTAGTAGGTCCCGATAATCCTGATCATGCTACCTTCGTAATTTAGGGTTTGACTGTGATGTTTCTTCGTGTAAAGTCGATCATGCTAGATTTGTATTTTGAAAAAAAAAAACCCTAATTTTATTTTCTTCTTGCAGAATATTTGTGATCGTGAATCAAACCCATTTCATTAGTAAATTAAAGGCAACTGATTTCCTTAATCTTTATTTACTATCTAAATCAAAGCATTTTTGTTTTTTAATTGATTGACTATTTACAGACTAGGTTGAAGAAATGTAGCTTCTTTGAATGGAAATACGAAGAACATGAAGAAGGGTACTACAAAAACCTTCTATATTCTATAAAGAAGAAACTGGATGCTAAAGAGGATCTGTCTGAGATGAAAACTTTGAGAAAAAGGATTGCTAAAGTGGAGTTCCTGCTATCACAGGAGAAGTGTAAGGTGGCAAAGAGTGAGAAAGATGTTTCTGATTGAAGGAAGGCAATAGGCAGGTACAGGATGATAGTTGCATTGTTGTTTGTTGGCTTGGTCTTTTGTGTTTTGAAGTTAGGGGGTGATTGTAGTTGGTTAGGGTGGTTGGTGTATGTAAGCTTTTGTATCTTTTTGTAAAGGCATACTAGAAAGTCGGTCATGATTGGCATTTTGTAAGTTTGGAAGCTGCTTTTGGTTAGAATTGGGAGGTGTCAACCTTAATGTGTTGATGTTGTAAGGTGGTAAGTCCCTAATGAAAGGGAATTTGATAAATACTGTAAAACCATATTGAAATTCCCAATTATAGGGCATTTTTTGTATAATCAGATGATGGAAATGTTTATGTTATTGAAACATGCATGGCTTGTTTTCCTTTTATTATATATAATTAAATTGGTTGTTGTGCATGGTATTATATGGGGAATAAAGTAGAAAGTGGTCCATGTGGAAGTACACTATGTATGGGGACCATTTGTAGTTAATAGTCAGTGGGTGTTTGTATAATGGAAAAATGGGACATTTGAACCCATTATAGAACCATATCCGGGACCATATAACACATTCACATGCATGCACATTATTCCAAATTTTTCCATGCAGAAATATTCAAAGCATATGTCATGAGTTTACTTAAAAAGGCAACATACTTTCATAAGTGACCAAACTATCATTTCATGTCATTAATTTACTTAAAAAGGCAATATACATTCATAAGTGACCAAAATACCCTTTTTTGTCATGAATTTACTTAAAAAGGCAACATACATTCATAAGTGACCAAAATACCCTTTTATGTTATGAGTTTACTTAAAAAGGCAACATACATTCATAAGTGACCAAAATACTCTTTTATGCCGTGAGTTTACTTAAAAGGCAACATACATTCATAGTGACCAAAATACCATTTTATGTCATGAATTTACTTAAAAAGGCAACATACATTCATAAGTGACCAAAATACCCTTTTATGTCATGAATTTACTTAAAAAGGCAACATACATTCATAAGTGACCAAAATACCCTTTTATGTCATGAATTTACTTAAAAAGGAAACATACATTCATAAGTGACCAAAATACCCTTTTTTGTCATGAGTTTACTTAAAAAGGAAACATATATTCATTAGTGACCAAAATACCCTTTTATGTCTTGAGTTTACTTAACAAAGACAATTACCTTAAATTCAAACAATAATCCAGATACAGACACATTAAACTCAAATGAAAATTACCATCATCCTAATACACATACTTTATATCCAAATAACACAAAGACAAATTCAACACTAATCAATTAGAATAGCTTTTCATTTAGAATTTCATGGATCATCAACACCACCAATTCTCTTGCCTAATTTCAGCTTCAAGATTCTCTCTGACTTTCTTCTCCTTATCCTCTTCGAAATCTCTGAAATTGGTCTAACCCTTCCCTGCTGAACCTGGATAATAGGAATAACCTTCTGAATTTGAGCATTATCAACAACTTGGACATTAGGAATAACCTCATCATCTTGAACATTACCACCCTCCTCAGCCTCCTCACCCACAACACCCTCCTCACCTTCATAAGTTCTAGGTGGAGTAACTTTCATATAATGACTAAAATCCCCTGCACTACTGGATTCAACATCATTAGGAGTAGCTTGCATATCATTTTGAGTAGTATCCATCTCAACTGGAGTCATTTCAACCTCTTCATGTTGTTGAGGTTCACTTCTACTACCCTATATGGCATGACATAATAATGTTAGTGGCAAATCATATGTAAATAAATTTAAATTTTAAATGGTTTTACATGTCTTGCATTTTGCTTCACATAAATTTTTTGTTTCTTCTGTTTATTCACATTTAACTTTTGGGGTCTTCTCTGTGGATAAGTGCCCTCGTTGTGACCTATCTCCTTGCATATACTACATCTAATTTCTTTCCAGCCTTAGAAACCATGTGTTTTCCTTTATTCTCTGTAATGGATTTCTTCCTCTTAGTAGTTGGCCTACCAGGCATCCTTCTACTAATAAGAGGCAATGATGGAGTATAATTTGTCTTTGTCCACATGTCACTGCCATTCATGGGGGAAATTATGTAAATGTATGCCTTCCTAAATATGGTGGTGCTATACATATTGTCTACATAGGCTTCTACATCCCTATTAAGATAGGATATGCTAGCTACAGAATGAGCACATCCATATCCATTCAATTTCCACAACCTACATGAACATGTTTTCCTTTCTATGTCCACCTCATATGCATCTGTTGCTCCCCTAACCTCAAACTGATTTAATCCACTAGGTAGTACCTGATAATGCCTCTGGATTTTTTAAGCAAATTCACCTTATCCCTTATCTCTGGACAAATATGATTTCCCCATTGTTGTCCCTTTAATTTCATGTTGTACAATTTGTCCATCATATACAATCTTAACTCCTCTAACATGGTGATTATGGGCTTCTTCCTGGCATCTACTATTACAGCATTAAAACTTTCAGAGAAGCCATTTTCAACTATATCACAACACCTTCCAGGTTGAAAGAAAGCTATTGACCAGGTTTTAGGATCTTTCTCCATGAGGTATTGATGGGTATATGGGTTCAATGTCTCAATTTCCTTCATCACAACTTTAAAAGCATGCTCAGTTGTAGCTTTAGATGCTCTCCAAAACAAGGTATGATATATGGCACTAGTGAATCTCTTCTGTAAATTCTGGAAAATATGTCTAGCACACTGCATGTGCTCTACATATGGAAGCAACTCTTTAACAGCCTCTATCAAACCCTGTATTAATAAGAAGGTTTAAATCAAATAGTATAAAATAAATATACATGAATTACTATGTAAAATACTAACCTTATGTTGGTCTGACATTAAACTGAATCCATTGCCTAATTTCAAGTTTAGATCATCAATGAGAAGCTCTAAAAACCACTTCCAATTCTGCTTGTTCTCCACACTAACCACTGCCCAAGCAATAGGATATATCTTGTCATTTGTATCCCTCCCAATAGCACAAAGCAATTCCCCCTTACAAACACCTTTCAAAAAACATCCATCAAGACCTATTATCCTTTTACACCCTTCAATCCAACCTTGTTTAACTCCTTGAAAACAAACATAAAACTTGCTAAATTATTTCTTTCCATCTGGACCATCCTCCACATCTAATTTCACAGTTGACCCAGGATTTGTCCTCAAAATCTCATGACCATATGACCATAGCTTACCATAATGTTCAACAAGGCTACCTTCAATAAGATTCAATGCATACTTATTTGCTCTCCTACATTGGCCCATACTAACTTGGATACCAAACTTGGTTATTACCATTACCCTAAGCTTCCTTACACTCATTTTCTGACTCTGTACAATCTCTTTGGTATAGTGACTCCCAATATATGCATATGTCACCAATGATCCAAACTTAAAGTTCCTAGCACAATTATGATCAGCTTTTAGTGACTTGATTTGGAAACTCTCTTCATCACTCATCCAAGAAGCCCATAATCTAAATGTGCAAGCAACCTTACTACACCTCACCAAAAGTCTTTTCCTATCATTTTTTTTCAAAACACAATTGACATCCATTAGCTACAGCATAGTTGCACAACATTGATTTTACTTGCCCTGGACCCTTAAATCTCATTTCTAGAATTGGTTTTTGTTTTTTCCAGTGTAATAGCTTATTAAATATGGAATGAGTTTGGATGTTATGTTCAAATTCTCTCTCATTATCATCATCTACAATGTTGTTATCCTCCCCCTCATCAACACATAAGTTACTCAAGAAAGGAACATTTGATGTCCTATTCATATGCACTGTATCCTCATTAAATTCAAAGTCAACATTCCTAAGTTCATCTATGTTATCTTCATTTTCACCATCAATACAAGACTCACGTTCATCATCATCAAACCACCCATCAACACCAACCCCAATATGATCCACATAAACCGAAATTACACCATCTGTTCCATAAGCATAAAAAATAAAAGCATCATATTCCACATCATCTGAAATGGGATTAAGCCCTTCCATCAGGGAATTGCCTGGTTCACAGTAGTATAACTTTTTACACTCTTCATGCATGAAATGTTCGAGGAAGGTCACAAACTCAGAATAAGTCATAGAAGAAAAGTCGACATCATTGAACATGGTTTTTTACACCACCAGTGTAAGAGAAAGGATTACGAGTAAATACCCCTTGATAGTTGAGTTCCACCATCGCAAACAGTCCATTAGGTTCCGATTGTGCCATTGCTGCGACTTCTTTGGTACTTCAGCTCGATCACAAAAATGCTTCACAAACCCTAAATCAGTTTCGTTTACAGCTGAATAATGAAGACGAGTGAAGTTCGACAGCTGAAGGCAATAGGTTTTACGCATCGTATATCATTTATTGACGTGGCATATCTCACGTGGCATTGGATTAGCCAAAAAATAAATATTAATTGACACATATAAAATGCCAACCGAAAAACCGTTTAAAAGCAGGTAAAATTACTAAATTGACAAGTCATATACGAGTTTTGGTGGTCTAATGTAACAAAAAAAAAAAACTTTAGTGACCCAATTAGCCAAATGTCAAAACTTTCATATGCTACAGTGTCATGTTAAAATTCAAAAATATTTATAGTATAGAATCACAGTGTGAATCTAAACTGATCGATTTTTTTTAATCGGTATTGATGTTTATTAATAGAAGAAAAAAAATTGAGATTTTTGATATAATTAATTTTTTTTGGATAAAATAAACTTAAATATTGAAAAAAAAAAAAACAAAACGTAGTGAGTTTTTTTTCAAAAAAAAGTTTGCTTTTAGTACATCAATATAGATCTCTATGGAAAGCGGACGAAAAATCGTGAACAACGATATATTCGTTTTCTTTTTTTTGATAAAAAACACAGCTTAAAAAAAGTTTAAATGAAAAAAAGTGAGTATTTCGGTAAAGAGGTGACTTTTATGGTAAAATCCGGTGTATGTGTGTCTAATGTACAAGTGTACATCATTCTCTTGGCCGTTGATAATTATAATTTCCGCCGCTCACGATTGGTTCTTTGATTTTTTGTTAATAATAGTTATTTATTGAACATCACCGTGTATGTGTGTGTGTGTGTCTATATATATATATATATAT